AACTTTCACACTGAACAATGCCTTTCTTCATATGATTTTTTTTCTTTTTTTTTTTTTTCATTCCAAAACAATGCTTCTATACTGAGAAGGAAGCATCTAAGAACATTTCGAAGTGTCTATCGCTCACTTCATCAACTACATGTTCCCCGAAACAGAGTATTAGTGGCAAAAGTTTTTTTTTTCAAATGCAATTGCAAGCTCAGACATCTTACAGCCTGAACTGGTCTGCACAGCTCTGTTATTCCAAGGCAGACTCGTTCTTTCTGAAATAAAAGCCAGAAGTCAGCTTTGCAGCCCTCTACCTCCAAGCTTACAGATAAGGCAGCAACACTCACGCCTTACTGGATACAATTTATCTCCATTTCATGGTAGGCAAATTTGATCAGCTACTTTTTGAAAGTGTATGCTCGTTTACCACGACAAGCAGACATCTCGTCAAACACATCAAGAATGAACAAGGCCACTGTCAGGGGAATGGCAAGAACTCAACTACCTAAACAGGTAGTAACACACACAGAAAGCCAAATGAAGTTTGAAGGACAGGGTTGGCGACACAGCTAAGCTTATTCAATTGCCAGTTTGCAGAGAAAAAGGGAGAAGCCTCCTCCCTGCCTTTTGCCATGTCCAGACACTCCTGCTGCTTCCATTATTCTGACACCATCCCTCATGTCACTACACAATGACACCAAGTAACTAAATTAGCAAAAAACCTAATCCCACAAAAAAGGAATTCATAGTTTTCTGCTGGTTTAGCTTCTTGAACCAGCTCATTAGAAGGATGACAAGTGCCTCAGTGAGCTTAACCCTATCAGCAAACTGTACCCTAACAAACTGTTTTGGGGTCTTCAGGGAAGGTAAATGAGGAGGGAAGCAGAGTGACAAGCACTTTAAAAGGCCTTTTTCAAGAGAGTTCGAGAATTGTAAAAGGAATTGTACCACAGGCAGCACAAGAGGCAACACACGAAGACCTTTATCTAACTTTTTCATTCCCGTGGTTTCTGGAAGCTTTCTGTTCCTTAGTGTTCACTGCCTTGAAAATGAGACCAGCTGCCAGCCAAGTAACAAATCTTTTGATAGCAGGCATTTCAAAACAGGAATTAAACACAGAGTTAATACTGCAAGTGAACTGATGTGCTTCAACAACATTAAACACAAACTTCAGGTAAAAGCATATATTTCTACAGCCAGTAATTCAATGAATCATAGAATCATTTAGGTTGGCAAAGACCCTTAAGATCACGGAGTCCAACCATTAACCTAACACTACCAATGAAAGCTATAAGCAGCTAAAAAAAAAAAAAAAGACCAAAAAACCCCCCATTTTACTTTCTGTGAAGTTCACTGTCAGAGCTGATTCCATATAAACTCTACCTCTAAGGAATCCTTTTGCTTTCCTCAAAACTCAAAATTACTGTTACCAAGACTTAAAAACCAAAAAATTCTTTAAACAGTTGGCAATAACTTTGCAGTTCTCTCTCCAATTTACTCACAGGCAAACTCAAGAGACATTTCATTCCTGGTACTCTTCCAAAAAAAATAGCAAAAAAAGAAAAAAGAAACCAAACGCATCCCTAATGGTTCTGCTTAAAAACCAGGTTTTGCAGTAAGGTAACACATTCACGTGTCAAGAACCTCTACCGTGATCTCTGCTCTAGGAACACAGCCTGCACAGTAGTATTACATTAATCAACCTAAAACTGAAGAAAACCAGTACATTAAAATACAGAAGAAAAACGTCTGAATGTTTGACAAGCATATACTTCCCATTTCTAACAGTCTGTGAATGCCTACACGTTGATTTTCAGTGACCGAAATTCCAGCTTAGAAGTGCCTAACAGTCTTCTGTAGGAGTCCTTGATAAAGAGGAGATAAATACCACATCTCCAACTTTCAACTACATAAGGAACACTCACGAAACACTCGGTTGCTCTCCAGCTAAAGTAAGCTGAAAAACACTGCGCACTGTAGAAACTGCTTTCATTTATAAGTAGCAGCAACTGAGCATCTAGGAAAGCTGAGGAAGGGGAAACAACAAATAGCCAGGATGTTCTTCAAGAGCAGGAGCAAACCGGGAAATCAGGAAGGCCACAATGCTTGTCTATCTGGAAACAAACACACCAGCTCTGGTTTTGGTGTTACTCTGCAAGAGATGTAAGGGAAAAACGTCATGTCCCACTGCACTTTCTGCATATACATATACACACAAACTATGATTTTACTTAAATTCAAAAAAAAAAAAAATCAGGCGGCCCATCAGAAGAAGCTGCTATGCTCTGCTGTGCTGTATAACAAGATGGAGAAGGAAAAGCACATCTTTCTCCCAATCTGGTCTACAAGTTAAGTTTACATCCAACCATAAACATATACGCCCCAGACAACAGCTACGGGTCCTCACCCTTACTTGCCGTTTCCATCAGCTCCTGGTCTTTCCAAGTCTCATCAGTTACGACTACTTACACGAATGTCATTTTAAAAAAACATACACTGGAATTCTCGGAGAGGGATTTACCCGTACATAGATGTTTGGTGTTTGTTTTTTTTTTTAGGAAAAGACAATTTCACAACTTCAATAATAAAACTTAATCTTTTCCTTTTAAAAATAAATGGTTTTCATCTAGCTTCTTTTTTATGTTAAGTTTTGCCAGCGTAGGATAACACAAGCATGTTACCATATGGCACGCCTACCAGAACTATCTTTAATTTTTTTGCTTGGAGATGTAAGCTAAAGTACCTGCAACTATGCTGTAATTTCCTTTTAGAGAGAAACTATCTAGCTGATATTTTTTGGAACTGAAGATATTTTCTAGTCCAATTCCCACTTTTTAATTTTTTTGTAAAGATTCAGGATAACCTATTCAACCATTGAAGAGGTTTACGAAGTCTTTTCAGAAAGGAAGAAACAAATCAGAAAGAGAAAACAGTGGTGCTGAAAATAACAACTGCTGTCAAAACCGAGTTGTATTAATTCAGTAGCTCGTCTCACAAGACAGTCTTTTTATAATGTTACCCATAACCAGAGAAGACAATGGTTTCCCTTGATTTCCACACCCCACACCCCCCCCAATGTAGCTTTATATGTCACTGGCCCTGGCAACAGTAAAGAATAGCAATGGATTTGTCAGCGGACAAGGACCGTGCAACGGGCCCGCGAGGGGGGCCCCAAGCACCCTGTGTTATCCAAGCACAATCGCCCTGTTATTTGACAACAAGCAAGTCTGCATGCAGAAGACAGCTTTTGGTATCGTACTCGAGTGTCAAACTGACAAACTACAGCCAAGTTACTGACGATAAACCTGCACGATAGCCAATTTAGAAAACATTTCTAGTCTAAGTGCACAAGTACAATCTTCACCTGCTGCATCTTTATCAAAAGTTCAAAATTGTGAGTCAGTTCACAAAAACACAACAGTATCACTGAGGCAGAGAAAACAGCACGGACACAAAAACAACCTGGCTACCTCCATACCAAGGAAACTTTCGGTGAAAAAAGGGGTGAAAACATACTACAAAAAACTATGTAAAAAGGACTGTGAAAATGTGGGGAGTTATCAGCTCAAAATACAAGTTTGTGCTACTAAATCTGTAAAAGCGTAAAGATATCCAAGCACTATCTTAGAATAACTTTATCAACCTGAAATTCACGTTTGACAAAAGGTGATGCTTACTTTCTGTATACTTAAAAAAAAAACCCAACAACAAAAACAACAAAAAAGCCCAAACCCTAACTATTTGCCAGTTACAGAGAAAGTTTCCCTGGTCTCCCTGAGGCCTACCAGGCATATTTTAAAATTTCTTTTTTTAAATCCATTTCTAGACTGCAGATGAGTAAATTAGGTGCCATCTACAACACTCTGCCAACAACAGCTGAGACAGCTTTGCCAAACATTTCTAGCTTTGCCATGCAATAACTTCAGTTTCCATCTCGGTATTTCATCCAGCAGGACCACTTGAAACAATGCAGGTAGAGGTAAAGGTTTGCTTTCCTAGGTTTCAGAAGAGTCTGGAAACAGAAATAAGCATCTCATTATTGCTTGTGACAGAGGGTAGAGGGTTTCATGCTTTTCCGTTACCAGTTAGCCAAATGCTACAGAGAGGGAGGCTCTCTAATTTACAAACCAGACTCCCAGGACACCACTGTACGTGAAATCCTGTCCCCCTTCTCCATTGCAGCAGCTGAGAATTATGAAGGAGGGGGACAGCTGGGCTTCTCATTAGAAGCACCGTGCCTGAATCCAACAGTCATTTGTACCCACCTCCCATTTGCAGCTTGCACCCTGCAGCTGATAGGTGTCTTTCAAAACCTCTCTTGGGGTAAGGCAGCACAAGCACAATGACAGGCGAGCTGGTTTAGTACAGCAGAGTTAAAAGATAAATGCAGTGGAGGGATTTAGAAGGAAGCCAGCACCGGTGTTATTTGTCTCCATGAGAACACAACTTACTAGAACGCTCCAGCTCCCAAGATAAAGTATCTTCTCTAAAAGCAAACTACGTATACATCTGTTGGTTATCAATATAAGCCTTTAACAACTGTCAGATATTATGGCAACGGTCCCACTAACTGCTCGCACGTAACTCTGAACGTGCAAGAACACTCAGCAGGGCGAAGGCCTTAATGGAGCTTGGCTCTGCAAGGGCGCCTTTTTCAGCTGCTTGGATTTCCCTTCTTTCCCTAGAGCACATCTTCACTTTAATTAATAGGTCACTGAACCGGTTTACGTTAATTGTCAGAAGTACCTCGTCTTTGTTCCCAAGGGGAGGGACCAAAGTTCATTCAGTTGCTGTCGACGACGCAAAACTGCAAAACCTAAGGTTTTGCACACACCTAAATCGCCACCGATTCCTAAGGGAGCTTTTTTATGCCGCAGTAAACAATTGCCTTCTCATTAGCAACGTGCACCCCGCCAGCGATCCCTCGCTCGCCGGCTCGCACCAGATCACCCTCAGTCATCTGCGCAACCATTACCTCAACCTGGAATTAACTTTTAAACGCTGCTGCTCACCAAAGCTGCGTCAACGCCATCCAGTTTTAACTTATCTACCGCAGATATCGCTACGGGCAGCAACTTCTGCCCATAACCTCCTTGCTGCGAGTTAAAAAAAAAAAAAAAAATCGTGAGGAAAAGGGAGACTCCAAAGATGGGTGCCTTCTCCCCCCCCCCCCAAAGCCTGCTCTCGCCTTGCCAGCGATAAAACCCTTTGGGCTTGCCAACACAGGGCCCACCGCGAAGCTCTCCAACGACCCCCAATTAACTGATTCGCCCCGCGTGGCTGATTTTTAAATTCATGTCGTCGTCCCCTTTCCAGACACCCCCGGGGGAACTGCCGCCCTCCAAACGCCCTGGCGGCCGGCCCCGAGCTGCCGTTAACCCCCAGCTCCCGCCGCTGAGGTGGCGGAGGCTGAGGGGAAGGCGGTGGGGGGGAGAGGCGGG